GGAGTGAGGTTTGAGCTGAGGTTTGTGCCCTGCTCTCGCAGAGGAACAACAGCAGAGAGGCTGTGAGGGTGTGACAACCACCCCTGGAACAACAAACCCTGTGATACTGACCCTGTGACACAAATCCTGTGACACCAACCCCTGGGCACCGAGCTCTGCACACCAACCTTGTGACATCAACCCTGTGACACCAACCCCTGGGCACCACCCCCTGCACACCAACCCTGCACACCAACCCTGTGACACTGACCCCTGCAATGGCCTCACTGTTAGGGACCCTCTGCCTGCACAGCTGGGGCACACCTAGAGACCCTCACCCTGATGGCAAGACCTGCACATGGCAGGGGCACTGTGGGCACACCAGAGCTGCAGGGAGGGGACAGCAGCTGGCATGGTGCTGCTCAGAGATGCTGGAGCTCCCTGATCTGTCTCAGTGCTGCAGCAGCTCCTGCTCTGGGCTGTGAGCCCCAACTGCCCAGCGGCAGCAAAAAGTGGCTCAGCCACATGCCAGCAGGGCAGCTGATTAATCCTCCAGTGTGCAAATACCTGGTGCACAATCACTGTGTGAGCAGCACTGAGCACCTTAGTTCCCTAAAGGATGTGTGGGAGGGGAGCAGAGAAACACCCCAGGAAAAGGGCTATGACATCCCAACCAGGGTCAAATGCTGCTCCCGGGAGGAGCTGCAAAGCCTGAGGGATTCAGGATGGGGAAAGGCTCCTAAATGGAAGGATAGGGGTGCTGAGGGAAAGGTTCCTGCACAGGTAAGTGGGATGGGAGTGTGAGAGAAAGGCTCCTGCAGGGACAGGGGGGATGGGAGTGTGAGGGAAAGGCTCCTGCAGGGACAGGCAGGGCACCAGGAGTGCTGCCTGGTGCCATGTGTTTTCCCAGTGGAATATATTTTCACGTGGCTTCTCCAGATCAGCAGTGGTGGCAGCTGCTTCCTGGGAGTGGGGGGATCTGGGAAGTCGGGTCTGGTTTTCCCCTGGGCAAGGGGCAGCACCTCCCACCTCCACCCAGCCAAGCAGTGCCCGGGGAGTGGGTCCCGTGCTGGGCAGAGGGGCAGGAAGCCGCGGGGATGGCGGTGGAGCTGCTTTCCTGCTGCACAACCTCCTCCTCCTCTGTCGGGTCGAAACAGAAAGAGGTCAACAAACTTCAGAGCTGAGCTTAGGAGCCACGAGACCTGCGGCAGACTGCCAGCCTTCCCCAGCCCCGCCGCGCTTTTCCAGGGAAAACCAGCCCCTGGATAAGGAGCTCAGCGCTGCCCCTGCGGCAGGGAGGGGAGCGAGCTCGGCCACCACGGGAACACCCACGGACCTATTTCATGCAGGTTCTGCGTGCTGCTGTTCACTTTTAGGGACTGCCAGGCACAGCATCAGCCTGTGAAACAGAGGACGTGGGCACCACAAGGACGTGGGCACTACAATATAGTTCCCAGAAGGACAGGGCACCATGAGGATATGGACATCACAAGGACATGGGCACCACAATATAGTTCCCATGAGGACATGGGCACCACGAGGATGCCAAATCACCTCCAGAGCCATTTCCAGTCCACCCCAAGGCCACAGGCCTTGGAAGCAGAGACTCCCAAGAGGAACCCAGGGGATGGTCCAGGCTCCTGGAAGCAGCCAGGCCATGACCTTGGGTGGTCTGGGCACAGCAGGACAGGACAGAGAGGTGGCTCACCTGGTGGTAGTGTCAAACTCGAAGGGGAAGATGATGTCACTGCTGTTGCAGATCTGGCAGATGAAGCCACGCTGCGTGCACAGGTCGCAGCTGTAGACGTGGTGGGACGCGAACTGGATCAGAGACTGCAGGAAGGTCTCGAAGACACCATCAGCTATCTGTGGGGCACAGGGGTCAGTGCTCCTGCAGCTCATCCCTGTGCTGGGTAAAACCCTTGTCACACCATTTTTTGGGCTGTCATCCAAACCAACCCACACCCCACATCGCAGTGGGACCCTGGAGAGTGAGAGCAGCACCCACAGCCCACCAGGACAGGGCTCCTGGCTTGGGAATCACTGAAAAATCCCACTCTT